ACATTTATATTAACCCATCACCGTTGAGGTGACTTGGGCTGTGCTGAATTTGTGTCTCTGCGTCTCTCAGCGTGTTTTGCTGTTGTTGACTCAGTTACTGTCTAGCGTACGGCTTGTTTATCGTTTTAATCGGTGTGCCCCCAGCTAGCGGCAGTCGGGCTTCTATGTTTTCTATGCGTGCCACGTGCGCGGTGAGCGTTTGAGCCATTTGCTCAGACAGCTTAGTTATCGCACTGTTCAACGTATCATTCATCTGCGCCACATGGTTTGCAAAACGCTCATCGAGGCTGTTTTCGATAATATTTATGTGTTTCTGTAGTTTCTCATAACGGTCACATTGCCGTGGGGTTTCGGTTCTCGCAGGATCTAGTGCAATTCTTTTCGCGGTAAACGGGCGGTCGTCTCGGCCGTCTGCCTCTTCCCTCGAACCGCTCTCATCGTTCGTGTCCATCTCCGCCGCCTCGGGTCGCGTGGAAGTTGAGGAACTAAGCGATGAAGGTGGCAGCGGCGTCACCTGTTGCTGCAAAGGTTGCAATCATGGAGCCTCGCATTTCAATTTGGAATTTCCCGCTCTTAAGATAGCGTTTTCGCTATCCTGAGAAATGATCGATTGTAACTGTCCAAGGCGTTGTTCTAGCGCTCGCTCTATTGCTTGCTCGAGCTCACTCACACCACCACCACCGATGGCGGGACCAACAGAATGATCCGCGGAAGCGAAGCCGCCTGCGGGAAAAGCGGCTACATCCGCCCATCTCACCTGTTGCCCATTGCCCATGTGCCCTTATTACAGCTGCCGCCGCGTCTGGTGCTGCTGGCTTCTGTTTTTGCAGTAGAAGGATTTGAAATTCACTGCATGGGCCTGAAGCAATCTTAATGAGCCAAGTCCTTGCACTCTGAGCATTAAATATATATAGGCGCCAATGCTGTGCTGCTTCGAAACTTATTGCAGATCAAACATCGCCGGTCTTTCTTTGTGCTAAAGTTGTCTTTGTTGAACGGTTGCACCTTCTTAGATTATTCAACAACTAGATGTGTTCTGACGTATCTTCTTCGTCCCTTTCTGCTTTTTTGATGCAGAATTAGTCAGGTGGGTCAGGGCTTTTAACATTGTAAGCCGGGCTTTGTGAGGCAATGAATTAAAAACTATGTTTGAATTTTCTAGCGCTTTTTCTTAATAAGGGTATTCAACAACGTCATCAAAATTTGATCCCAAGATGTGTTTGGAACCGACTTGACTTGATGATTCCATCTTTTTTTCTCATGCACCTCTTCAAGAACGTCAAAAAACCTCAATGCAGCGTGAATAGAGATTGTCATGTCCTGAACAGTAACTGGTGCTTTTTCATGTATTTTTCCTCTCAGGAAGCTCTATATGATATTTTCTTGTACGTCCAAGCCCTCCTGAACAAAATAAATATAATATATTATCAGTGTAAGCAACCGGTTCAATTAATAAGACACTTTTTAAGCGACTCAATTCTTTTTTGTCGCCTTTTGCTCCTCTCCCATGCCAGAATTAAAAATATTTCCCCTTTCAACCACGGCACCAAGTGAACTAAACCTTTTGTGACTTGTAGCCACAAGTATTAAATAACAAAATAAATACTGACCTTGTCGTACATACGCTGCAATAGCTTTCCACGCAGATAAAAAAAGTTGGCCGAGCAAAATTTTTCTCTTTTTTTGGCGTCTCTAATAATCATATGGTGGTTTTTATTTTTTTTTTTATTTTATTTATTATACCCTCAAGGCCATGGGCATTGAAGAGGGGAGTGGGAGTAACAAGATGTACAAAACATAGGAAAAACAGAGCATGTGTTTAAATAGAAAAAACATAGATTATCCTGATTATACAATATTAGCTAATGCTTGATGAAACAGGTGATTAACGCGTATGGAAACGACATCGGCGGGAAGGTGGTTCCACTCTCGGGATGTTTTTGGAATGAAAGACTCAACAAAATATTTAGTTTTAGATGAAACAACTCCAACTTAATGATTATGGTCAATTCGGCATATATGTACTGAGGTTGTGAAAGCAGTTCAGCATGGAGAGAAGCATGGTAATAAACCTTATGAAATAAAGTTAGGCGAAAAATGCGACGTCGTTATGCTAAAGACGGGAGGTCAATACTACTTTTAATTGCCGTTACACTTGCCGTTCTATTGTAATTTGATAGAATGAAACGGGCTGAATTATTCTGAACAAGTTCAAGTGCGGTAAGTTGTCGTGGCAAGGATCCCATACTGGTGTTGCGTACTCTAGTTTTGATCTGATTAGTGTTTTGCATAGAAGAAGTTTTAAAGAAGACGGGGCTGAAAAAAAGTTTCGACGTAAATAACCTAGCATGCGGTTTGCCTTGTTAATAATGTATTCGATGTGTTTCGTCCAAGTTAAATTGTTGGTAATATGAACACCTAAGTACTTGTAAGAGGAAACGATTTCAAGTGGTGTATTGTTCAGGTAATATATAGGCATACAACTAGTAGTTCTCGATACACGCATTACTTTACATTTAGTGACATTAAGTTCCATTAACCATTCTTTGCACCAGTTCCTTACACTAGTTAGATCTGATTGGAGAGAGTTGGAGTCGTTGTCAGCAGTTATTTCCCGAAAAATTACGAAGTCGTCGGCAAACAAATGAACATTAGAGGATATAAGAGAAGGCAGATAGTTAATGTAAATAAGAAACAAAAGAGGTCCAAGAACAGATCCCTGGGGGACACCAGAGGAAACCTGGCCGAGTGAAGAGTTATGATTATTAGCTGAAACAAATTGCGAACGATTTTTAAGGAAACATACAATCCACTTCATTATGGTGTCATCAAGTTGGAGTTTGCTTAGTTTGTGTAGTAGCAGCTTGTGGCATACCTTGTCAAAGGCTTTGGAAAAGTCTAAATAAACACAGTCAGCTTTTGATGATTGGTCTAAAATGCGATGTAGCTTGTGAGTAAAAGATATTAACTGTGTTTCGCATGAGAGCGATTTGCGAAAACCGTGCTGTGCAGATGTAAAAAACGAATTTGATTCAAGGAAATTGACTAGATGTGAGAATATGATATGTTCCAGTAATTTACAGCAGGTACTAGTTAAAGATATAGGGCGGTAATTTGCGGGGGATGTTTTTTGGCCAGATTTGAAGAGTGGAACCACCTTACCTATTTTCCATTGTATCGGTAGCGTAGATGTGTCAAGTGATTGCTGGAATATTTTTGTTAAAATAATAGAACTAAATGAACTTGTATTCTTCAAAAACTTCGATTCTATTAAATTGTAACCTGGAGAAGAATGGTATTTAAGTCCAGCAATCAACTTAGCCACACCTGGCGCTTCAATACAGATGGAGGACATTACAGGAAAATTATATGTCTGCACGCTAGGAGCATTAATTGTGGAAGGAACAGAGAAGTTTTTCGTGAATGTATCATTGAGCACAGCCGCACAATCATTCAAGGAAATGGAATTGCCCGATGCGTCTTCTAAGTAAATACTGTTATCATGTGGCGGATTTATTTATCATGTGGCGGATTTGGGACGTTAAACCCCACATATCAATCAATTTCGCTCTTTTTTGGCAGGTAACGAAAACACTGACATCAGTCGCGCAATTTTTCCCGCGTTAATGCTGTGAGCAACCAATAATTTCTACTCCACGAAACGTTGATCACTACCAGCCCCTATCACTGAAATAGAAAACTACGGAAAAGTAGTTCTTGTATTCCTGATAGAGGTCGACAAAGTCCAAATTTCGCCTTTTTCTTCTTGTCTAATTTATTCCACCCCACCTTACCCTGACTGGATTCCCAGAGAAGGCAAGCGGGTGAAGTGGAGACAGAAAGTTAAGCGGGCAGATGAGATTAGGAAGTTTGCAGGTGTAAACTGGCATCAGCAAGCACAGGACCGAGTGGACTGGAGGGAACATTAGAGAGGTCTTTTTCCAGCAGTGGGCGTATTCAGGCTAAGGATGATGATAATAATGATGATTCTACGTGTAATGTCGTTGGGCAAACTGTTGGCCGATTCTGAACACTATAAGGTTTAAAGGGGGGCATGCGCGTGACTATATTAAAGCATTTTGAATTTTATTGTGACTGTGGAGGCCGGGAATGTACAATCTATCATTCAGAATGATGCTGCAGGCATTGGGCCATCATTTCGGGTCTCTCTCATCTTTTTACAGTGGCGTGGAAATATATACGTGCTGCAATGTGTTCTTCGCATGGGAGCTCAGATGAACAACCATCATTTCTGAAAGTAAAAGCGGTTTCACTTTGAGTTTTTTTTGTCCGTCACCGTCAGAATTCAAAGGCCCATGGCGAATCTTCCGGACGTTAAGAAAAAACAAATGGCCGAATTCTATTATGTTGCCATTTGCGCAGAAGAAGCCGGATGAAAGAAAAGACCAGTGCATGCCAGTGTCATCACCTGTTTAGTCCATGTGTTTTTGCGCTCTAAACAAACAACGTGATGATGTGCTTGTCGCATTTAGAGTGTCCACATTGACAACTCCTTGATAATGAGTAATTTTTACAGTTCAAGTATTGATATTTCTTTGACTGGTAATATAATAAAACATACGTGGCTTAGATAAACGAGTAATTCCCAAGCTACAGTCTTGGTAATAATGCCACGTTCCATTTTCCAAGTTTTGTTATCGTCCCAAAACACTACACAATTCTCAGCGCAATCCGCGCCTGCAGTTTTCGAGAAGCTTCCGGACTTTAGTAGATCATTTCGGTAAGATCACGCCTACTCTGCGAACTGTACAGATTATTCTGGAACCTACGCCAGGGGGGTGAAACTTCGCGGTTTTTCTGTCCCGTGACCACAGCGATCCGAACGTTTGGGGGCTGTACTACCTAAATGAACGTTCTTGTTCTATTTTATAGTTATTACTAGGTTACTCAATAATTCCGGAGTTTTTACTACACAAGTGAACCTAAAGGTTGCAGTTCGAGATTGCGAAAATAAGAGCGCCACCCAAAGTGGAAAACGGGAACTGCGCAGTCGTCCTATCTCTCACGGCGAAAAAGGGGCGTTTCTTTTCGCGCGCCCATGTATGCTACAGCCTGCGGTGTCCCAAAGGCCGCTTTTACCGCTGTAAAGTTTGTTTTAGCGAAACCCATGCAAGATTCAGCCAAACAGACGCATCCATGGATTCTCGCCGTCATCACAAATCGTGCTGCGCTGAGTGGTGTTGGAATTCTTCACGACACACCGGCATAAAATTCTTTCGGATCCCGGCGGACGAAAGGTACGATCTGCATGCTGCTCGTTTTGTCTTTCTACGCTTGCATGGCATATCAGGATGCGGTTGCTGCAGTAGCTGTGTAATTTATTGAGCTACACGTACATGATTTATTCATTACATTCTGATTGTCTGCTTTTCAGCTTCAATTATACATGACATGCACAGCAGAGCATCTGGAAATTATTCCAGGGAATACAATTGCTACACACGATTGTTTATACTTGCGTTTTCAATTTAATGAGTTTCAATCGTGCATTGCATTTCGAAGTTGCACTTTGGCTGAAGGCAATGCAAGGCATGTCACAAAATGTATTTGTAGCAGCATATACAGTAACTAATAGAACAGTGTAAGCTTATCCGCACTTTTTTTATTACCTTTTGATTGCCTGCGTTCAGTCTGTTCTCGTTGCATGCGTTATTATTATTCTTGAATATATCAGCCTATTTATGTCCATAGCTAGAGGAAGGCGATTCCCATAATCTTTTGGCTATAACGGAGGGTCCATATACGTTCATAGCATGTGTTGTTAGTACTATGTTAATTAAGTACTGAGTACATAAATTATTACACTTGCGAGTTTAGACGGATGTTATTACATTATTGCGTTTCAATTGTGTGTTTTCATTTTGGCCTCATGTAAATGCAGGGCATATTGCAGAGGAATTTAGCAATAAATTTATAAAGTAATAATGTATAATGTATACTTCAATTTCATGTTTTCAGTTTCAGCCTTAAGTACAATTACGATATATTTACAAGAATGCAATTGCAGCTAAAAGCCCATAACTAATTGGACAATGTAAACTTACGTGTTCTACTAATTTATTACCGGTTTTAATAAGGTTTTTATGAAAGATTTGCAGCAGGGCGCGAGAAACACCCGAGGAATACGCAGTGCGCGAGGGTATATATGTACGAATAGTTGTTTAGAGATTTTGGTTTGAGATGATTGCTATTGTCTGCAAAAATATATTTTGAATTAGGAGGAAAGCTGGGGTCGTTGCCACCAAACATTACTATCGCTCAAGTAGAAGCATGTATCCGCGTCTCTTAATAATAAAGACAGATTTTATTTTAAAGTTTGCTTTTAGGATTGCTATCACAAGTCGTCTTGGTTACAAAAACTCAATTAAAAAAGGAAGATAAGAAATGTATCAAATAACGCTTAGTTCGAATAAAGATGCCAGTTTTCACTCAAAGCTATCCATCTACGCCTGAAAACAGAAATAAATCCATTCTAACCCAAATACTACACACGTACACATTGATTTTCCAGATCTCGCGCTTGGGTTCAGTATGCGAGACGGCAGGACCTGGCTCATTTACCACCTCGTCAGAGCTACAGCAGCTACCGCCTGTGCTCTGCCCATTTCACCAGCAGAGACTACGCAGACCCTGGACAGACAAGGCTGCTAAGATGTGCTGTGCCAACAGTTTCCATCTTTGGCGATGGGCAGACACACGTCGAAAGTCCAGGTGGGAATACTGTAAAGTGATCATACGACAGCACAAACTTTCATGCCTCTACATCTATTTACAGAAATGCCTTAATACTCAATATGTGTACCTGTCCGAGTTATCAGGACTCAGTATTTTTAAGATTCTCGCGCAGATTACACCAACAATACCAACGCATGGTGTACACAGCATCCATGGATTCGCCGGCATGATTTTGCTGGTAGATATAACTAGCTAAGTAAAAAATTTGCCGGCTTCACAATCGTTAAATTTAGAGCAAACGTCTCACTCAGAATGCTCTACATGTAACCTCCTCGATTCTGATTCAGTTGTCTCTGCTATTTTACCCGTGGTGTAGCGTTTTACAGGAAAAGGCGAAAATGACCTCATAACTTGAGAGACTACTCTATGTGGCGCGTTATCAGCTATTTCGCACATGGCGAGTGAGTAGTGGCCAACTTGGTGTCGCTGTTAAAACAATTGCGCGATAGCTCTGACAGTGGGAGCAACAGAACGGGCCTTTTAAATATATATATATATATATATATATATTCTATGACACCCTAGTTTAAAGTCGCTTTTAAAATTAATAATCCAAAAGGTACTTTATTTTTATTAGCTTTATTATTACAAAATTACTTTTATTTTCAATGGGCCAAATAAGTGTAATTGGCAAGAGTTCGGTTACGCGTTAGGTCATCACGGGCACCACGATGTTAACCTGTTCTAGGCACATCACATTAAGATTTTTAAAATATTGGTTTAGGATAGTTGGGATACCCATATATTTAGTGAGTGACACGTAGCGTTCTCTTTTTGTGTGTTTGCACTTTTTTTATTACTCATACTGAGACATAATACGCGAGGAGACCAATTAATAGTGAGAAAACGCCCTGAGTGATTGTAATTGCAAATATTTAATGTGATGCCTTATACCAGCTGTATGTATGTCACGCTGAAATCTGTGCTCCGCCAATTTCTCTTCACAGGCTCTCCTCGGCCCGCCAATACCACTGCAATGCCCGCTCACAGCGCCGATGAAGAAGTTCAACAGACTGAGCCCTCATGTACGCAAATTGTATTGCTCTCTAAGCTCTTTAAAAGTATTCCAGATAAATTAATGCCCTGCAGCTATCGTTTTAATGTCACGTACCATTTAACAGATCCTAAAGTGCACTACGGTGTCAGCTGGGCGAGCTAGTTCATTGCTAGGGGACGAGAACCAGAGCGATGTATACCGAAAGGCAGGACGAGACGAGTGCTTGTCCGATCTCTTTCTTGCTTGTTTGTTGCCTCCTAAGAGGGATTAGTGCCCCGCCGCGGTGGTCTAGTAGTTATGGCGCTCGACTGCTGACCCGCAGGTCGCGGGATCGAATCCCGGCCGCAGCGGCTGCATTTTCGATGGAGGCTAAAATGTTTGAGGCCCGTGTGCTTAGATTTAGGTGCACGTTAAAGAACCCCAGGTGGTCGAAATCTCCGGAGCCCTCCACTACGACGTCCCTCTTAATCATATCGTGGTTTTGGAACATTAAACCCCAGATATTATTACTATTATTATAGGAGGGATTAGTGTTTTTAAAGAAGACTATGAATTTGTTGTTTTTTTTTTCAAAACATACCATTTTAAACGTATAACCAATAATGTTTGTTAACAAGGAGTATGCTAATGATTAGGAAAAATTAGTTGACGTTTCATGTTGCCCACGATGCTTATACATGCCATTAGTAGGCTCTATGCCCAGCAGTGTGCTTATCAGAGGCCTGTTCCCAATGCCCCAAGTTTGAATAAGTGAAGGATCGAGAACTAAATATGACCAACAGATTACTCATGGAAGTAATCACTTCAATTCTAAAAGCCGCTAGAACTTTTACTAGGTTTAAAGATCATGGTCAGCTTTCACAAAAACACAGTATAAATGAACTTTTTTCCTAAATCTTTCAGGTTTCAATCCAGCCGGTCGACAACACAAGCCTTCTAGGTGCTCGCCAAGGACAGCCAGAAAAATGAAGAACCTGGAGAAGATAAATTCAAGGCTTCGGAAGGCACTGTCAAGAATTGGCAAGAGAAAGGTTAAAAAGCCTTCCCAGTCCGAGGCGTTGAATGCTATCAGGCCCTATGTCCACAAGACATTCTTTAGATTGGTTGAGACTCAAGTTAAAATTAATGGCGTGAAACGTAGAGGACGGAGGTGGTCGCCCGAGCACCGCCAGTTCGCTTTAAACTTATCCTTTCATGGTCCGAAAGCGTACAGACATCTGTCAAGACTGCTTGACATGCCAACTGTGAGGTCGCTAAAGCAGTGGTTATCAAATATTCCGATGACTCCCGGAGCTATTTCAACCGCTATTGAAGCCCTCGAAGAAGCTACCCGAAATTGGCATTTAACAGATCGTGCGTGCACAATAATATTTGACTAAGTGTCCTAGAAGGAACATCTGCAGTATGATGCAAAGCATGACATTGTGATGGGATTCTCCGATGACGGTAGGCAAAGAACACCAGCCGTGGCAAATTCAGCGCTCCTGATACTTGTGGCAGGCATTTCAAAAACGTGGATTCAGCCTGTTGCTTACACAGTATCAAGGACCAAAACACCCGCAGATACTCTTCATCATCTGATCATAACATTAATCAAGCAGCTGCAGGGAGCCCGGTTGTTTGTGAAAGCGCTCATCTGCGACCAGGGGGAAGCAACATCACTTTGGCAAGTAAGCTAGGTGTGACGCCTGAAGAGCCGTTTTTTGTGCTTGAAGGCCGCAAGATTTATTTCCTATATGACACACCACACTTACTTAAATGCACAAGGAATAATCTCCGCACACCTCACAAGCTCCATATCGGGCAAGAAATTGTGGATTGGTCTTTCATTACGCAACTATACGAAAGCTCGCATCCTCTGAAACTCAAATTGGCGAAGAAACTAACCGACAACCACATTTACCGGAAGCCTTTCAATAACATGAAATTTAAATATGCCAGCCAGGTGATCAGCGAATCGGTCTCAGTGGCCATTGATGTATTCATTGCTCTTGGCATGTGGCCGGCATCCGCCAAACCAACAGCTGATTTTCTGTAAAAAAAAGCCAGTGACAAGTTACGTTATGCAATTTCGGAAGGGTCCGAACACCTAGCCTTTTTGCGGGAGTGCCTGTCGTGGGTTGAAAGGTGGAAATTTGACGGGCCTCGGCAACCACACACAGTTGAGGCATGGAAGGTCACCTTAAAGGCTATCCTTCTCCTCTGGGACGACCTCTTCCAATATTTTGATTTTCGTGTTCTCTTGACTCGCTGGCTACAGCAGGACCTCCTGGAGAACCTTTTCGGGCTTCTTAGGCTAAAGCATGGCTGCAATGACAACCCAAATGTGCTTCAGTTCACATCAGGTCTGAAACACATTTCTGTTGGCAAACTGGTTGCCCTTTTTTCAGAAGGAAACTGTGAACAGGATCGCAGCACTGTGTTGTCACAAATGTCAGAGCCACCTCATTCGCTTCCTACTACTTGTGATGCAGCACCAACAGTCGACATGCTTCCTGATGAGGAACAGCCCGTTAGCCATGATATAGTAGAGGACAACCTTCTCTACTATGTTGGGGGATATCTCGTACGGCAATTTTTGTTGCACAGGCCTCCACACTGTGTGTGCAACACCCTTTTGAAGAATGCCGACCGCCAGCTTTGTGCATCACACCAGTATTTTGCTATGTTTAAGGCAAGCAACATCTCCTCAGATTTATTTGGCAATGTAACAATGCCTTCTGACGATTGCTTTCAGGATATTAAGGCCATGGAAGCTTGCTTTTTGGAATATATTGGTGTTGTGGCACACCTGCCTAATGTTAGTGGAGTTTTGGCAGGCATTTTGCACAGTTGTATGGGAAGGCAAAAATTCTGCTCTGAAGAATGCAAGAAAGCCTTTGTGCACCTCTTTGCAAGGATTCGCCTGTTGTGGCATATTCGCTTCGTGAACATCTCCTTGGATAATCAGCGCACCAGAAAATCTACTGCAGCACGAAAAATGCGGAAGTTTTTGTAACTTTTAGGATTCTGTTTGCATATTTGAGGTCTTGAAAAACTGAGCGCTCAGAAAACACGGACGACAAAAAGACACACATATGCGCAAAAGTAGGCGCTACTTTTATATTTTTGAGTCACCGCTACTTCTATAGCTGAGGTCACCATTTTCTGCTTCTGAAGCGGACATGTGTGTGTACTATTTATCTGCTTGTATTTTGTTTTTGTGTTTTTCATTAAGCAATACAGGTATGTTACGCTGAAGAAAGCATAAACCCTTCGTGTTATTTTATGAGAACACTCTATAGTGGCTTCAGTATTTTGTAAATTTTTGCTTCAGCTTTTATAAAGAAACCTGATGCTGAATAAAAAATGTAGCATTGTCTAACTCCGGTACCTTATGGTTTTTGTATCATTTCCTCTTGCATCCTAAGTGTGCGGTGTGCCGTATTATCTTGTCCCACTCATGGGATGATTTTATATCGGGATACGTGCTGTGAACTTGTGTATAGTTATTACTGTTTTTCTTTTGTCTTTGTATATACGTATGTGTGGCAATGTGCACTGGATTGATACTAGGTTATTAGGATGCTGGCATGTGCTGTCCACTTTTGTATGCGACCAAAAGCGTAAAACATTCAAGTTGTATTTGTACTGCATAAACCATACGTTTAGGCGTTTAGGCAATAAAACATTCAAACAAACTCTGCTCTTTATTCTTATCTAATTTATGTGTACACGTAAACAAAAACGTCTTACTTACAATAAGTAGTGCACAAATAGGTGGATGGGCAGACCATCAATCAGAACGCAATGATGGCCGTTTTCATCATGTGGCGGGTTGCGCAACAGGAAGAAGGTCGCGTGCTCGCCATCTGAATACCTTCCACTCACTCAATTTGGCTTGCTGGTGCATCCCAATTGAATTTAGCGCTAAATCCCCCCCCTCGTCACTCGAATCCTCAGTCCTCATCAAGATGGCGTCCCCCAGTGCATGTCTGCAATGCGCCGCCATGTTTTCGTACCGCCCCCAAACACCAGGCGTTCGTCCGGCGCTGCGAGTGAATATCGCGTTCCATGGAGGGTATAGGAAGTTTCACTCCCCTGCCTACGCCACCGCCAGCGATAACGCTAGAACATTCGACGGCAAGAGTATAAATGCCGACGCGTTTCGCCGCTTGTCAGTGGTTGATCGACGGTCGACGCCCCGTTCACCGCTTAACTGGCTCCGGGATTCCCGCGACCAGGCACGCTGCCAGTCGTTGACCTTATCTCATCGAGCATCAAGTGAACCCCTGGTCAACCCCCGGCTCTGTCCAGGCCTTCATCGTGAGCCAACGCCCGGGCACCACAGCGCAAGCCGTGGGAGCCAAGGCCAGGACGGAAGCGTGATGGCTTTCGCAGCGCCACCACCGAAAGCTCATTGCTTTAACTTCAGTGCTCCAGAGGGGAGCACCGTCGACGACATTAGGATGCTCTCGAAGCAGTAACCGGCCCAGCCGGTATCAAGTCCCTCCAGCGCATGGGAGGTGCAAAGTTCGGCGCCGCAGCCGCAAACGTCCATGCAGCCACCAAGCTGGAGAGCCGGGGCGCCCTTCTCTTGAACGGCGAATCAGTTCCACTAGTCAGCGTAGGTCCTGAAATAGTCCACGTCAGTCTTCCGGGTACCGCTGTGGGTAAGCGACGCAGCCCTAGCGACTGCTCTCTCCGCCTACGGCAACGTGCAACATATCCACGAGCCAGTGTTCAAGGGCCGCCCTGGGGTTGGCACATGTAGGTGTCCGTGTGACGCGAGTGGAAATGAAGAGCCAAATACCGAACTTTTTGACAGTTCAAGGCTACAATGTCATATGTGACTACCGGGGTGTCAAGAAAGTGTGCTCTAGGTGCAGGAATACTGGCCACATCGCCAAAGATTGTGCCACGCCTCGTTGCACGCGCTGCAACGTGTTTGGACATGCCACAGAGGGATGCGCAGAACCGGGCCGCAAGTGCTCGGGCAGCCATGCAACAGCTGACTGCGTGCGCCCGAAGTCCTTCACAGCGGCTGCAGCAGCGGCACCCGAAGGACAAGAGTGCACCGACCTCACGCCCGCATTGCAAGATGATTATCCGGCGCTCGAGCCTGCGAGCGACACTGACACAAGCGACACCGACGCCTATGCTGAACCACAAGATGCAGGAGACCTGCCTCCCCTGTCTGAGAAAGCCTCGTCCACCCTTCACGCCCCGTCAGAGACCAGCGACTTCTCGCCGGACGCCTATGAAGAACACAGCTCATCCAAAGCCGAAGCCCGAGTGCCCGCACTTAGCAGAAACCACGAGAGCTACAGCTCTGACACAGTTGGCACCACCAGTATCTCCGAGGCGCCGAGAGCTTCGATGGGACGCGGCACCCGAACAACGGGACGTGCAGACGCTCCGTTTATTGGCCCAGACAGAACCACAACGGTGATTATGCCACCGACAACGACGAGCGCCCGCGCCAGCAAGTACTCGGCTCAGACCCGCAAACTGAGCCTGTCAAACTCCATTGACCAGATTACAGGTGCCAGCGCCATGGAAATAGACCGTACAGCCACCAAACGAGCCCACCCACCGACCACGGACTCTGAGGGCTCTACGGACAGCAGTGAGCCCCAAAAACTCGCTAATGCTCTGACGACGTCAGAGCATTTCTTTGTTTAGTCTTGTTCACTCGTTGAGCGCTCGCCCCACCCTCTGCAAAGGGTTTCTTTGAAGTTTGCGCGCACTCTCCCTTTTTCAAAATGGCTACGGTGCATTTTCTTTCCTTAAACGTCAGGGGTTTCAGACGCCAAGATAAGCAGAGAGAAGTCATGAACTTCGCAAGGTCACGTCATGTCAACATACTCTTCTTACAGGAATGTAATTTTAGAACCGCTTTTGATGTGCAATTCTTTTGTTCCCATTTTGGAGTCGAAGCCTTTTTTTCGCTGACTTATTCAAAGATGTGCGGCGTTGGTGTTGTTTTTTTTTTTTTTTGACACCAGCGTTACGTCGAAGAGCACACGGTGTTTATGGTTTTGACGGCCACACACTAGCAGTAGACTGACCTTCACGGCAGACGAGTAAGGGCGCTCGTAATATATGCCCCAGCTCAACGTTGGGGCACGGCCGACTTTTTCAATTCACTCGACTCATTTATGTTTGACAGTTACCCCACTTTCTTAGTTGGAGATTTCAACTGTGTTGAGGACACCGACAGAGATGCGCACGGACGCAGACAATATAGCGGAGTTAGCGCATTGCAACAACTCATCCGCAATTTCAAGCTCAGGGATGCGTGGGTCGACACTCACGGAAATGACTTCGTTGCAACATGGCAATGGGGTCCCAACATGACCCGGCTAGACCGCTTTTATTTTCCAGAAGTGCTAGCCACACATGTCCTTAGTTGCGAAGTCCTACATTTCCCACCAGACGTTCCATGCATTACAGACCACTTTCCAGTGTCTGTAAACCTTTTCTTTGAACAATCCACTACATTTAGAAACCATTGGAAAATGAACACCACACTCGTGCACGACCCGGAAAGCGTTGCATTACGGCGCAATGCACTAGAGCAAGCATGCAAAAGGCCGCCTGAACCGCGTAACTGGGACGCATTGAAACACATTTGGCGCGCCGAGCTTATCAAAGCGGGGCGCGAAAGGAAAGCGCGCCTGAAGACAGAGATAAACGACACGCTACGAAAAGCGCGCATTGTACGCAGAGGCGAGACGCTGACGTTCGCAATGCACGACTATCTCGATCAGTTAAAGGCGCGGTACGAACTTTTGCTACATCTTAGTTCGCGCACGGCTGCGCATTCTTTTATCAACAGACGACCGGTTTCAGATCCAGCGGTTCTT